TTAGTCACTATACACACACTGAGTTTCCACAGCCGTAGCTAATGATCTTCCAGGAGACCTCTAAGGAAATACATTTCCAGCTTATTTCCCCCGCCTCTCCTGACACACGCTTTCCGCAAAAACATAAGCCCAGGGTGAATACTTTAATTTACAGAAAGTAAAAGGCACTCAGCAAACATGTTACTTACACGTGGTCTTTTCCATTCGAACTTGATGGGGATTTTCTGGCTATAGAAAAGGGAGGACTCATTCGGTGGGAAATCAGGATCTTCATAGAGAATGTTCTTCTCCAAGCACTTCTTGTGAAGCTCTTCATAGGTCTTCTCCTTTACTCTGATAATGGGCTGGTTGCGACTTATAATGGCAGAATAAATCCCCCCTGTGCCCCCACCTGTACCTTCAGTTGTAGTGCTAATAGTAGCGCTGGGAACTGACCCAGCAGCTGTCTGCTGAGCCACTGCTGCATTTATGGCGGACGGCATGGGAATCAGGCTTAAAGCAAATGTTGAAAGAAAGCAAGATCTTGCAAACTGGAAGGAAATTCGAGAAAAGAGGAAGTCACTGTGTAAACCGCTTTTTCTGTCTGTTGACAGTCTCCTAGTCAAATCTGCAAGCAACAAAATTCCATGTGGTTGAGCACGTTGTGCATCTGCTCAAAGGGCGGTATTTTCTCATAAGAAATCAGAATTTATTCCTTGATGTGGAACAAGAGAATCTGTTGGCTAAGTTGTAGTATCCTGTGCCTGCCCTCTGTGTATGAGCGTCCAGAAAGGACAAGCTTTAACCCACGAAATCTAAAAATAACTACAGGCAAAGAGTGAGAGAGGGGGTTAGTGAGATGGTGTCAGTCTTCCACACAGCGTGCCGAGGCCAGGCATATTCCTGGGACAGGCTCCGTGTGCAGGCTGACTCCCAGTGCAAGCACTTCATCTTTTCCTTAAGTAGACAGAACAGCTAAACTCCTGCTGGATTGGGAACTTATGAAGTATTGCCAGCCAATAAACTAGTCCTGATGCTCCTGAAGGAAATGTACTCGACTTGTTTCTACCCTTTGCTGCAAAAAAAGACACATAGATACTTTTACTAGTAGAGAGGATTATCTGAAGATATGCTCCTAATTGTGAGAAGGGTAATTATTTGATGCTACTGAGGTCAGGTCAATACCTGCCAGCTGGGTTTGGCTCCTCTAGACAGCAGCTTACCAGCACCAAGAGTCACCTGGTGATAGCTACCTCCCATGTAAAAGGCACCTTTTCACATAGGGGCAGAAAGGTTTACGATTTTTCTGTGTGTTAGGATACACCCATCTTAGAAGAGATTTCTGACTTTGCGTATTTATTTTGTCACACAACAGTGGGATAAGTGACAAATTCAGAGTCTCTGTGAAAGCAAATTTAAATACATTTTGTCCTTCTTTATAACTCAGCTCTTTAAAAGGTGACATTGTTTATGTGTCAAGAAAAGCCCCTTAATACCTTGATTTTTCTTTAATTGGGAAGTCTTAAATCACACCGTGACATCAATGTTATTTTTGCCTAATGACACTAGTCTCTGGACTCTGGCTCATGTACACATTGCTGACCTTCTGCCCTAGTACTATGGTGTTTTCCAAAGCACTGATTCTTTTTTTCTTTCTCAGCCATTTGCTTGGTTTACACATTTCAAATCAACAGTACAGTGCACAATCTCCACAGCTCATTAAAAAAACTCCACTAGAGGAACTTTTAAAGAAGGTAATGTAGTTGGCAAGCTTGACTAACCTCTAGGAGTATTAATCCTCAGTCTTCTAATGGTGGCCTAAATCCTTTTCTTTTTATCATGAATGCAAGCCTTCTTGCACCAACAGGGCAATCAGAAAGGACTGATTAAAGTATTCATGGAAATAGGAATGCAATTGCCTCAGAGCGAGATGTCCAGATGCAGAATTGATGACTTCCTCATTACATTTAGATGCACAGATCGCAGGTCTCATATTTGACATTACTTTGCAGGACAGCTTGGCAGAGTCATGTGCCTCTCTTTCCAGGATATTTCAAGAGCAATGCAAGTAGTGAGATGCAAGGGCCTCTCACTGCACAGCTTCAGCAAAGATACTCATTTTGGAGAAGGTGCATGTGTTCTTTCTTTCATATTCATGATCTTTCTTTCATATTCTCCCTTCTTGCCCAATACAAAAAATCATCTATCGCATCTCGTACACAGAGCTGTTTCAGGAAGAATGTCAGTAGCACAGGTGTGATACTTGACAAACTCCTTGTGGGCTACTGGGGGGGGTCAAGTGAAGGATTAGCAGTGGTTTTGTATTTTTTTTTGTCTTAGGATGGCCAGCAAGCGTCAGGGTACGACCTGCTGCTACAGCTAACAGTTCAGCTAGCGCCTGCATAGGGAGCGGCATGTGGAGGTGCACTTCTCACTTCTAACCCAATGTTGCTTTTCACAGATGTTCAGGAGTATTTTGCGGTTATACCTGTTCAAAAAACAGCTTCTCCTTTTCTTATTTTTTAATAGTAAGTTTTACTTCCATTTGTTTTCACTAATTGAATGATTTTTTCTTTAAAATAAAGATATACTCTAAATTTATTTCTTCATTTATGGCATAAATATGTGGAAAAGTATGTGAGTTGCTACAAATACCAATGTAAATTAATCTATTTGAAATTTATTTCTTCAGATCTAAAGACACAACTGCTAAGATTTTCAGCAACTAAATCCTATCGAAATCCATAGAAGTTAGGCACTTCATACCACTGAAAATTTGACCCATGAGTACTTACTACAGTGCAGATATATCATACTGAGGGCCAGAGTATAAAAGCTAGTCATTCACTTTAACCAGATAACCTTGGAAGAATACTTAGTAGTGATTCTCAACAGTAAAAAGAAGGTTGGAAGGAATAAGGCATGTAACTCACTTCATTGTTACTTTATTTCGTTTACTTTCCAACTTCAGAAATACCAGTTGAAACATTTCATTAAAATGCCCCAGACACTAATTATATCTTGTCAGAAGCACTGCTAGGCTTAAACATAAGAAGCAATTGTCAATTAAAGCTTAGAAGCTGATAGAAAAATAGAGTCTGTCTCAAAAATAGGGTCTGTCTCTCTTCTCACAGATGTAAAAGATCTATTTGCTACTATTCTACCTGGATTAACTCGTCTGCATTAAGCACAGCAGTATTTAGGCTGCTAGTTCCTAGAGTTGAGGCTCACACTGTCTGCTAGAAGGGACTGACAAATGGCTCTGCAGAATAAAAAAGAAGGAACCTAACGGTCTGGTGGGGAACAAATTGCACTTGGTAGGCAAGAGCAGAGCAGTCACAGTTTGCTCTCACACTTGCTATTCCCAGAAATCTGCCCTGCAGAGGACAAACAGCAGCAGGTGGGAATGACTGACCAAGCACAGGGACGACTTAGTAAAAAGAGTAGGGAACAACGTACAAATGGACAGCTACGTTACCTTTCGTTGGCAAAAATGGTGACCATCCTTCTCTGTTTCCTAAGAGTTAATTTACTGATGTTTTTAGAAAATACTTCCTTATCTTGCTAAAAGAAACTAAGTAAATTTTGCCCTTTCATATCCACAAAACCCAGCTGATGGTATGTTCAGGTTTGACTCAGAACTGGTTTTAAAATAACATAGTTGACAAGTGTAGCAAATGGAAAGGACAAACAACTTGAGCTGTGAAGCAATGTTAGTCTGTGAAAAGAGCTGCCTGATATGGAAAGGGCTGTGGGAATAGGCAGGGTGTAGGGGATGAGGGACTCAGGGTGTCTCCTAGTTTTGAAAGGGAAGAAATCAGCAGGACACACCAGTTCTGTTTGCAGAGATGGTGGGAAAAGCAGGCAAGGGAACATTAGGGTGAGTTGTAAGAGAATGGGGGAATAAGCATGAAGTAGGATGGCTAAATGCAGAATTAATCCCATTAAAATTAAAAATTTGCTTCATAAATACCAAGTTCAAATCTCAGCCAGATACTAAAAACTGACCAAGAAATTACCAAAATATGTGCAAAGGAAGCCAAACCTTGGCAAGAGTTGAAATATGTGGCAAAGAGGAGCTCTCCATAAGCAGAGTTGCTTCACTGGGCTGGCTTTAACCAATGACATTCAATCATCCAAAAATGCTAATTCTTTCCTAACAAAAGACCTTTTTTTTTTTTTTTTAAAGTGGTACTTGCAGAGAGAGGGCATCAATAACATGGAAAATGTTTCTGCACGAGTCTAGCTGCTACCCTAAGCCAGTATTGCACTTACGTAGACCTGTGCCTCTTCAAAATCCAAATACCAGTTTCAAAGCCAGCTCTCAGAGAGGCTTCTGCACTCCCACATTACTCTCTTTCACTATTGCACAACTGACTGGCACAACCTATTCAAACCTTCCCTTCAGTGACTGAACTGTTTGGCTAGCCTCTTGTTTACTTTCCTGTACAGACTGCCTAATTTTGCATTGTCATAAGGACTGGAAAGGGGAAGTGTCTGCAATCACACTGGGTGGCTCCTTCTGTGTTTGTTTTCACAAGGCAGCCTGCAGGCAGAACTCTGATGATAACCTCTGCATCTGGCATACCTACTGACGCTGCCTATTGAGCTGATCCAGGTGTGCTCTTCTTAAGTACTCCAGTCTCTGAACAGTGGGTTTTCCAAATAGTTACATTAAACCCCATGCCAATGAGCCACAATCTCACCCCATCAAATTACGATTTTTTGGTGCAAGTGAAGGCAGAACTCATTCTTAATGCCTAAGTGAAGCTAGCTTGGAGCAGATAGTTTTTAGCTTTTTTCCCCCAAGATACAGTCCTAGTGCTATTACTTTTTGCCAAATAGAGCTACTCAAGTTTAAACTAGTGCTTTAAGAGAAAAATTGTAGGAAATGTTAGTTTGGGGGTGTGGGTGGGAAATAAGTTCCTTGATTTGACTGGATTCAAGTGAACGTTTTAAGTCCTCCCAACTTATTTCCCCTCAACCTCTCAATGAATTCTTTGAAGAAGCTGCGTCTCCTTTCAGTTGATGCAAATCTGCCAGTCAGCACCAACACTCAGGGCTAAATCTTCCAGCTTCAGCACAGAGGTCTTCATGTCGTATGTGAAAACTACTTCTTTTTCTTCCCCATCTGAACAGAACAAGAGAGTTTATGATTTAGGAAGAGCCCTTCTGAAACACAGTTACACATGACTCAGACTATCCCTGCCACTGGTGGAAACGATTGATTAAAAAAGAAATAGTAGTCAAATCTGCCTGGTATACACATAAGAATGCAGGAGAATTGGAAAAACTATTTCTTTTATTCTGACCTTTCAAACTATGATACATCAAACTATGGAACTATTTGAGGATTTTTCTGAAAAACATAACATAATTTTTTCAGCATAGGTTTTCCTCAAAGCACCGTAAAATTTCTCAAAATTGACAGGTGGAGGCAGAAAGTCCATGTCCACATGATTCCTGGAGTGAAGGAACGTGCTTGGAAAGCAGCGAGAAATTATAAGCCCCTTCTGTAGATGCTACTGCCTATCCATATGGGATCCCCCACAACTTCTAGAGACCCACACACAGTCAGGAACTCCAGACGCTTTTGCATGAGCAAGAGAACAGAAAAGTAATTCTGGTTTTGTCTGCAAGTTTCCTGTTCCAGATTAGGCAGGCTTACAGATCTGAAGAAATGGTCCTTCATTTGAAATGCTCTCTGGTCATATTCTGTGCAGGACAAAGTTTTCTGAACTTGTTAATTCTGAATGACTTTTTCAATTATGCTATTGCCTTACAAAGCAAGCGTTCTTCAGTTCTGCATGTAATATTAGTTCTGAGTAGCTGCTGGCTCCTTTCACTAAATTCTGTCCTTGACATCAAAAAAGTAGCAAAGAAAACTAAACAAAGATGCTCCCTATGCCATAACACTTCCTTTATAAAGCTGTCAGTTTGCCTCCTCTAGCGAATGGCAGCAGAGTAACAGTATTCCAAAAAACTGTAGTAAAATAGAAGTCAGTTCATTACCCTTGGAACAGGCTGTCACAAAAGTGGGTTGCTGTCCAAATCCCAGAACTATTACCCGTTCAACCACACATGTAGTGTAGTATTGTCCGCTTTCATCTGTGCAGCTGAAAAAAGAAAATTATTTCATATACGTTAGTTTCTGTCCATCAGTAGAAGTTCAGAGAAACTAGTATTTCAGTCTCACCCTGAAAGTTCCCTATACTGGTTTCATCTCCTCTATTTACCTTTCTCCTTAAACAAGTAAAACTTTCTCCCGTTATCAGCTAATTTTTCACTGCATAGCAGATTTCACAAAGTTAGAGGGGAAAAACGTTTGAGAAGACATTTTGTGGCAAAAAGTGTGGCTTTGACAACCAAAAAACTTCTGGATTTTTGCAAAATGGTAGTTAAAACTCCTAAGTATAAATGTAAAGCTAATTTTAACATTTTTTAAGTAAGATGTTTCAATTTGAGGCACAACCATCTTTCATTCCGTAACTAATTTAATTTTTATTAAAAAGCTCTAAAAGAACTCAAATCAAAATGAAACTTTTCTTTCCAGAGTGAACAGAATGTTGTACCATTCATCTCAAAATGACTTTTTTCCAACTTCTACATTTGCTAGCAATTTAGCAACATCTTTCTTCTCCATCCTGAATTTTTAAGCTTTCGTAAGCTTTTTGAGATTTCGTATCCCAGAGAAAGAGATTTGAAGCATACTTTTAACCACATTATTGAAGCTAGTCTACAGTTTTGCTCTGTGTTAAAATTTGTAATTTTAGGGCCACCTCCTGCATATTTCTGAACCCTGAAGGAATAAAGAAATCACCATTTATGCACTGCACACCTCCATGGGGAACACACCTTGATAGTAAAAGTGTCATAGTGACATACTTAGCATCTCTTTCCTTACGAGCAGCTACAGATATTTTTGGCTTTTAGGTTGTTTCACTCAATTTTTGCAGGTTGTATTCCCTCATGCTTCCTTTCAAGTGCTTTTCTTGTATATTTTACCATGCTAATACATATGGTGCATTTGTTTATGACTTTTGGAAACTACCTGTAATGGTGTCTGTCTGTGGTTCCCCACATAGAATCATAGAATTATATCTCAAGTTGGAAGGGACCCGTAAGAACCAAGTCCAAGTCCCTGCTCCTTGCAGGACTACCTAAGACTAAATCACATGACTAAGAGCATCACCCAGATGCTCCTTGAACTCTGACAGGCTTGGTGGCTTGACCATTTCCCTCGGGAGCCTGTTCCAGTGATTGAAAATACAAACACTCCAGGTGCTGCCTATTTGCAAATCTCCCAGTTTATCTGCTTTTGTCTCTCTGACAGGCTTTACTCTTGCTGATGACTTTCTTTGAGTAAATCAGTAGATTCTCTAATTTGACTAGATTGAAACAATATGAGACTCAGTATCTCATGTGTTGCTGCCCTTAGACTTACGCAGAACATTGTTTACCCCTACAGTTTTATAACAGATTCTGCATGCTCTGTGACTTCACTAAGCAACAGACGAGACTAACACTTCCATGTTTGTAAGAAGGCCTCATGAACCAGAAAAGACATTTCCCACGACAGTGTGTTGGCGGCTTTTGTCTGCAATTGCCGTTACCTGGAAGAGAGAATGTTCTTGTGGAAAGTGAATTTCCGATACAGAAACTGCTTCTTGTGGAGATATTGAAATGAATGCCCATCATCTAGGTAGAGCTCACCTGTTGCAGAGGCCTGTGAAACACACCAGGTGGAGAACAAATTAACAGCAGCTTCTAGTTAAGACTAAAAATGTCTTGCTATATGTTATGCTTCATGGTGATGACTGTGTATTTATTTTATTTTAGTGACTTGTATTCCCATAAGGCTCAGGGAGTCCAGTTCTGAAAGTGCTTGAAGACTTGGACAGCCTGGTTTTGTAAACCGCTGTGGGTGCCAGGTGTCACCTCATTTGTTAGGAAAGACAGTTGCGGGAAGTTCTCTCTTTGTGTCCAAGAGGAAGTTTGTGGCCTGCTCATTCTCTGGTCCTTCCTCCAATGGACTAGATGAGCGCTGAGAAAGGTCAGAAAAATGTTCTGCCTCTGCTATACTCACATAGTCTCACTTTGAGGGAACAGTGGGAGAGAGGTGGGAGCCCCCCCCAAACACAAAAAGTGGAGGAGAGCCATTTGGCATACAGATGCAGATACCATTGTGTTGATTGAACAGGCAGCAAGGACCTAAAAATGGACATAAAGGCAACGTCATCTTGGAGTACCTCTGTGTCCAGGGCCACATGGAGTTCGTAAGAAATATCTATCATCCACTCAGTGGATTTTACAGCCATGGTCTTCAGAGGTATCACAGTACCTCCCCGCTGGAACACAGGGATCTGCGAAAAACACAGCCAGGGTAGAAAGATTCATATACTTGGGTCATACAATTTTAACTTGAAACAGGGATAACTGAAGCTTGCTCTTATCAAAGCTCAGAAATGAAATTTTACCACATGTACATAAAGAAAACTACTTAACTAATAATGGCAATAGTAGTAATCTTCCTGTATGCACACAAGAGAAGCAGCCTTGCTTGGAGAACTTGCCTTACATCATGTAGCTTTTCCCTACCACCAGGACACACTAGTGTCCATCTAAGAACAAAGGAGATGGGACTTTTCTTATCTACAAAGGCTATTTTAGATTACATTCCTACAATGAAATGAAAATGTCACTTTTCCAATATTGAATGTAGACAAAATGAAAGCCTATTTGGTTTTTTTCCTGCTCAATAGAAGTAGTATTTTAAAGCAAAAACATACATTCTCCAGTGTTACTGGGATCTTCAGAGTGCCTGGATTTTCCATTCGTTTAAATTTTCTGAAATCATACCAAATCTAGGAAAAATTAAAAAAGAATGAGCATGACATATATGGCAAGATCTGTTCCCTCTGCAGATGCAGTTACTCTTCTGCTTAACCTTACCGTCACTATTCCTAACAACCTATTTGATGTGCAAGAAATAGCATTTACTTTTTAAATCAAATGACCTTCTGGATGGAAAGAATGTATTCTCATTCCTGAAGCACAAAAATAAGCTGATCTTTTCTACAGTTTGCATAACATCTTGTATGTCTTAAAGCATCTGGAAGTGCAAAACAGTTAAATACCTTCTTTTTTTTTTTTTTGGATGTAGAAATGCTGAGTTCCAGAATAACCATATTTACATTGAAGTGAAAATTAACAACAACATTGCTAATAACAGGTCAGAAAAAAGAGCTACATCTGAAACATCCCATGCGTCACACTTGTCAGCGGGTTTAACTGCTATACGTGTGCCAGACAATTCCCAGAAAGATCTTAATAAAAATATTTGTCTGGAGAGCCTAGTCTATTTTTCTCCTTATACTGAGAAGAATTCTAAGTGTCCTCAGGTGTATTAATGGAGTCACAAGGCTCTGCGTGGTCTCACACACTCCCCTTTGCTGCTGTCTTTCATTCTCTAGAGTCTCAGGCTTTCCCTTAGAAACTATTTCCCCCAAATTCTTTCCCTTCCTCCACCTCTCTGCTGCTGCAGCCAAACGCTCTTTGTAGGAGTGGATCACAGTGCCATCCTGTGGATAAGTAACTTTCCCTCAGAGAGGAACTGATCTTTACATGTCAAAGCCTTTGCTATACACATTCCAGGCTTCTGAGGCTTGTATTTCCCTGTTAAAATTTTCCCTTCCCACAGCTTCCCTCCGATTTCCTTATGACCTTTCTTCAAAGATCCCTTTTCTTCCACATAAAGGAGAAGCTTAACACAAAGAGGCATACATGAAAAAAGGTAACTGACAATTTAGTGAAGCTGTTTTTTGGTGTTCCATGAGAAGCAGGAAGCCTTGAGGAGAGATTTAAATTATAGGAGACTTGAGATTTGTGCAGCAGCTCTTGGAAAAGCAAGAAAATAAATTTACTGTGAGCTAAGCATGCGAGGTATCAAGATGGAAGGAAGGTTCAGAGTGGCACAGAATGGCTGGCCAGCATTTGTCAGAGCAGCAGTGCTTCGCAGTTATGAGATGGGGAGCTGGAAGGTTGCTGTATAAAGCACTTTTTTGGGCTGGACAGCTGAGCAGCTTCATATTCATTCTTACCTCCTCTGACCCTGGAAGGAGAACACTCACTGCCTTGGCCTTTTGCTCCATGACTGGATGCACCAACAAAGCATTTCCTGGAGGAAAACATAAAAGTGACTGTGATCCTCAAGGCTGCATCTCATCGGAGCAGAAGATACGTACTCTGGGGTTGTCAGCCTCCCACAGCCATTTGAGGGGCTTGCTTGAGCATGCCATGTGCTTAGGTTCAATTTCTACTGAAAAAAAGAGGCACATATAGGGAGCTGATAGCTGCTTGGGTCTTGTTCTGTTACGGCACTGGGATGCAGCTGGGCTGCACTGTATACCCACCAGCTTGGAAGCACTTCTGGGTCCCTCATAGTCGAAGAGATGACTGCCTGCTTGCTCTTTCATTGAACAAAAAAATACTCTTTTCTAACCAAAAGTGTGGAAGACAGGAATGTCTTCATTAAAAAAAAAAAAAAAATCTGCATAAGCTTATTGCACTGGGGATGTTTCTTCTTTACTTACAAAAACAAATAAAAAATTAATGTATATAGACTGTATGCTTTGATAAACTTCTTCACTCCTGGCCCACTGGTGATGCAAGCTGAACTCCCAGAGTCTTCTGAAATGCTCTGCTTCACCACACTTAGCTTTGCTGCAACGTCCAGCCTACCTTGGTCAGACTTTTGCATGAGAAGTGAATGTCCCTTCATTTGAAAGCCACTAGTGGGCACTCTTGAGCTCAGAGGTAAAAAAAAAAATAATGAAATGCAACATTCAATGCGCTCACAGCCCAGAAAGCCAATCGCATCCTGGTGTGCATCAAGAGAAGCGTGGCCAGCAGCTCTACTCTGCTCTGGTGAGACCCCACCTGCAGTGCTGTGTTCAGCTCTGGGGTCCCCAGCACAAGAAAGACATGGACCTGCTTGAGTGGGTCCAGAGGAGGGCCATGGAGATGATCAGGGGGCTGGAGCACCTCCCCTGGGAGGACAGGCTGAGAGAGTTGGGGTTGTTCAGCCTGGAGAAGAGAAGGCTCTGGGGAGACCTTCTAGCGGCCTTCCAGTGCTTAAAGGGGGCCTACAGGAAAGGTGGGGAGGGACTCTTGATCGGGGAGTGCAGTGACAGGATGAGGGGTAACGGTTTCAAACTGAAAGAGGGAGATTGAGATTAGATATTAGGAAGAAATTGTCTATTGTGAGGGTGGTGAGGCACTGGAAGAGGTTGCCCAGAGAAGCTGTGGCTGTCCCCTCCCTGACAGTGTTCAGGGCCAGGCTGGATGGGCCTTTTAGCAACCTGGTCTGGTGGAAGGTGTCCCTGCCCATGGCAGAGGGGTTGGAACTCAATGATTTTTAAGGTCCCTTCCAACCCAAACCATTCTGTGATTCCCCTCCCATTCCCTCTTCCCGTATAGGCTGAATGTGCTTTACACAAACACACTCACCTCTTAAGCCTAATTTCTGCAAACACTGACCTTAGCAGCCAGCCATATTAGACTAAAAACCAATCAGCTCTGGATGGTAGTTGTTTGGTACTGTCATTTCTGAAGCAGACTGTGGTCTTAGCTACTACAGTAAACTTCCATATTTCAGGTCAAAACTGACCATGTTTTTTGAAAGTAACTAGTGAGATTGAACTCAGTTTTTGCATCTCATATGACCCCCTATTTTCAAAGTGTTGCTAAAACCGGGTCTCTTAAAGAGGTCTCAAGTTCTACACTCAGTTACAATATAATTTTTTTAAGTCTTGGGCAGAGTTTTCATGTTTTCTTTTTGTAATGTGACACTCTATCACCTCAAAAATATTTAACTCAAATTCCAGAGAATGGGAAAACACCTGCTTACCCAGCATGTACTCATTTTCCACACCAAAAGTTTCTGTTTTCCCTGGAAACTCTATCCAGAGAGCCCTGTAGAAAGAAAGATAGTGTGATTCAGCTAGTTTCTCCTCTTCTACCAGCCTGTTCAAGGCCTTCTTGCATTTTCAGGCTCCATGTTCTCCCTCGTTTTACAAGGTACAGCTTTCAAGAACTGAAGATAGGGCAAGGTCCTCTTCTGTGCCTTGAAGCACGCCTTCTGAGTTACTGATGAGAGTTCTCAGTACAACATGGATTAAGACACTCCAATATACCGACGGTTTGGCCTCCTACAGCCTCACTTTCTTCCCTCCTTACAAACTTGTACCACACACACCTTCCTTCTAGCAAAGGGGAGATGGATGAGCCTTTCTGTCTGTCTACCAGCAGTGTTGACACCTGATGAGCTAGTCTCTGCAGCAAGTCCTTCCTTTTCTCAGCAGCTCACTACTGCTTTTATAGCATGTGTCCATCTGGTCATGACTGAAAAACCTGCACTGGAAGTTCTTTTTCAGTCTTTCTCAAAAAAGGGTAGTGCAATAACCATCTGGTTACAGAACAGCAGTTGTATATTCGAAGTTAGAGAGATTATGAAGATAATAGCTCATTCAGAGACAGGGTCTAGGTTTCTTTACACAAAAAGCCTGGCTCACCTGCTCACTCATAGGTATCCACTTCTTCACTGCAGCCCTGCTGTTCATTTGCTAATGAGACATGTTTTCCACTCGTCTCAGTGAGAAAAATACCAGGCTTCCTCTCTAATTCTGTACCTACTGCAGCAAATTTAACATACTTGAAGTTCTATTTAATACTGTGGGCAGTGCATGTGTCAACATAAGCTTCATTTCAAGAAGGACAGAAACCCACTGTCTACGTCAGTGCATACAACAGGGGCATGTATGTCTATACATGTGCAGACAGATGCTCACACTATGTCTGTAATGCAAATCATCTTTGAAACTCAAACTACTCAACCCTTGTCAAAAAGACCTTTACATATTTCAAACTTAGGAGTTGTACTGTATTTGCGTAACAATAAGCAAAGGTAAATGTGTTGCAAAAGGACAGTTCTAAGGCAACCTCAAAGACACAGCAATACCAGGGAGATGAGTGACATCAGCTCTTTCTGGAAGACTGCCTCACTCAGTTCCACTGAGGCACTTTCTTAGAGGTTAGAGAGCAGTAGAACAAAAGTTTGTTTTCTAATTTAATTTCTGTTCTAGATTACTAAGATTCTCTACTAAAACAAAAATTATACAAAATACTGCAGAGATCAAATCATCAGTATGAAATAAGCTTTTATAATAGTAACAATTCAGCAGCAACAAATATTTTCATGAGGGGCAAAATGGCCTTTACGTTTTTAGGTCAGAGAGTTCATAGTGCATTAAGCACTGTTTCAAGTGTGGAATACTTTATCATGACAAGAAGTTTGGAGTCCTTAGTACTTTAAAAACATGTTTAAAAACTGTGCAGTGTTTATTGAATTAGCGTGCTCCAGGTGTCATTTGGAAAAAAACCCAAAACATAAAAATTTCCTCTGAGAACCCTACCAAAGCTTGCAGAATGTATGAAAATAGAATACAGTAAATTTTGTGTGTTTTTTTCTCTTTTAATATTTAAGTAAGTAATCACAAAAGTAAGAGACGGTAATTAACTTCCCTCCTCCAAGTAACTCCCTGAAGATAATCACTAAACCTCCTGACTCATGCTCTTACCTCATAACCGGTTCAGCCGCTGTGTGCGCCCGATAGAACAGTGTATATAAGTATGGCAGGAGGACGTAGCGCTCTCTAATGGCTTCCCTGATGATCTGGGTGTTCTTCTCCCCAAAGAGCCACGGTTCTCGCCGTTTGCTCTCCATGTTAGAATGACCTCTGAAGAAGGGCTGATAGGCTCCAGCCTGATACCAGCGAACAAGTAATTCTGGTTCTGGATCTCCAATAAACCCTCCCACATCAGCTAGATATTGCGCAGACAAATAAAAATACACATTTTTGGAAATTATTCTGAAAAATGTGAGGTTCTCCTCTCACAAACATTCCAAGTGTATAAATCCATGCATATCACAGTGTCCTTGCAGTTCTGCTGTTGGGCAGCTGCTTGTCCAAATAAGAGTGGAAAACTGGTGTAACAAGTTATCCTTTAACAAAAATCTCAAGAGAGCTTTTGGAGGCTGAGTGCCTTCCCCAGTGACAGAGGACTGTCACAGTGATGCTTCAGAACATCACCTGAGGACCGCTGCTACAGATGGGATGCAAACACTACATAAGAGTTAGTGGAGAAATGATGGTGAGAGCCAGGTTATTGGCTTCTGAAACCAGACTAATCTGTGAAACTGCCTGGAAACACACTGGACTATTGAGCTTTCCACCGTCTGTATCTTGGGATACAAACTTGGTGGCACCAGTGATTTATGCACAGTGAGCAAACTCCAGCTAAACACCTTACCTCCACAGAATGAAATCCCTGCCATGCTAATGGTGAGAAGCATTGGAATGGATATTTTCAAGTAACTCCACCCTGCTGTGTTGTCTCCAGTCCACACTGCCCCTGGAAATACTCAGTTTCAGCATTACATAGGAAAGTTGGGTGTATGCTTCAGTTTATGCTTGCAGTTAAGGAAAGAAGACAAGAATGGTCATGAACTACTGGTGAACTGCTGTTCATTGTAACTCTTTTTTCTTTATACACAGATGCTCCTGAAATAGGCAATAAAAGCAGGTAGTGAGTTGTCACACGACACGAGTTGTTAATTCTGCCTTTAACTTGGACACACTTTGCCAGCCTCTCCTGATTTTTTTAATCACTTGCACTCTTACGAACTCATCATGACAGTATTTCTAAGAGAGTTTTTGTCCTCTCAAGACTACTACACACCAAACTTAATAGAACAAAGCAGCATGGAAGGCATCCAGCTAGTCCTTACTTACCATACTTCTGTGATCCAGCGAAGAAAGATCGTGTGAGGACAAACGGTCTCTCTTTTCCTGAAGAACGTCTGATGAGTCCTTCTGCAGTTGCCATTTGCTGAAAACCATGCATATAAGTCAGGAAGACAAACTCTATAATTAGGGTATTTGCTACACTGCCTTTTTAGCCCTTCCAAGGAAGGAAAACTAAGAAATCTGTACCCACAAATAATACCTATTATTAAAGCAACACTTTCTTACTAGAATATACTTGAACAACAAAAAAAAATAATATCATGTACCAATGGAATTTACATTGTTATGGCAGAAAGGCACGTATGCTGTCATATTTTCTTGTGACCAATCACAGTTTATTTCTAATACAGTAATATCCAACACAGCACAGTTTCAGTCCTTGCCGGAAGTTAAAGATTACCTACTACTGTGTAAATTACCACATTAGACACACTCCAAGAGAATAACCGCTGGTTTGTGTCTCCAGATACTCCACCTGGTAGAATCCATAGAGGTTGTGTACTTCCCGATGCTCCCAGTTGTTGTAGTGCACAGCATCTTTCTGCATTGTTAGTTCTGCCCCTTTGAAGACTGAAGGCTCATTCATGTCATTCCATACAAAGAGGATATTAGAGGATCCCTATGACACAGGGTTGCAATTAGGACATAACAGCCATTGCTGTGACTCAGTGTGTTTTTCTCTAGTGGGTGTCAGGCCAGTCTGGGATATGAGCAGAAATAGCAGCAGCAAAGCAAGATGTGGTAATTATACTCCTGTGGTCACTTGAGAGCTGCCAGTCATTCATCTAATCTCTCTTGGTGGCCCTCATGGTCACGGTGGCAGCCTACAAGCCCACTTGATTTTTGCAATTCTGTCCTGGGTTACAGTGTAAAATGTG